TAATAATACGGACTCTCCGTCGGTTTCGACGCATGAGGATCTGACATCTTATTGATTCAGTTATGAAATTTTGTGCGATAATCTTAAGTGGCATTTAAGACCAGCTAGTGATTTACAAAGGAGGCCACATATGGAGCAAGTGCGAGGATTGTGAGATGAGATCACTGTTAGATTGGCTGACCTTTTAGATCTTGCTGTCACTTCTTGAAGATGATTCAGACAAGCAGATTGAAAATTGCTGAGTCCACCAAATCACGTTGATCTCCATTCTACCCGCTCCAAGGCTAAGCACTCAAGGGTGTTATGTGGTATATTGACGGCAGACACACACACACACACACACACACACACACACACACACACACATATATATATATATACATTATGGAAAGACGTTATAATTTTATAAAAACAAGGATCATAACAACAAGGATCATAAAATTCATCGAGTGATTTGTAGGTTAATGCATCTTTAAAATTTTGTTTGCGAAGGGATTTCGCCATTTTATATCATTAACTTTACTAATCTACTTTTTGCATGAATGATTCATTGAAATATAAATTGAACTGCACCACACATATATATATATATATATATATCTGTATGTATTTATATATATATATATATATATATATATATATATATATATATATAATCCCTTATTTAAACTTCTGCAATACCAAACGGCCCTGATATAGATATAGATAAAACAAACAGACAAACAGAAACTCTGTTATGTCGAGATGATTGCCGGATTATAGTTTAGGTGGTCATAAGCTAAATTAAATTAATTTAATTTATGATCCATACTTATCCTCAGAGATCTCAACGCATTTTCCTCACTCACAGTTATATCTTTCTTTCATTCTAACCTGAGGAAGCCAAAGAGAGCATGCGTTCTCCGGCAAAACGCGTCGTTAATAAATTTTCCGTCTTCGTTTAAAACACTCTAAATGCCCCTAATTGCATGTAATGTAATGGGGACATTTAATGTTAGAGGACTTGTGAAAAAAGAAAAATAGAAATTATTGGTCCAGGAAGTTGATAGTTTTATATATATATATATATATATATATATATATATATATATATATATATGAAAAATGGATGCCTTAACCGATAGGGCCACGGTAAATGTTATTAATACTGTTTATTATAATAAAACGAATGTATAAACATAAAAAATGTCTTAAAAAAGTGTGACGTCATTTGTTTACATTTGGATACGCTTTGAGCAGATATGAACGTACGTGAGAGATTCATGGAAGTTGTAGTTTAAAAGCAGTAAAATTGACCTTGCTAATCGAACGATGCCCCATGGCTCGATCGGTTAAGGCACGTCAGGCTAAATGACGGTTCCGTATAGGATACAGGTTCAATTCCTGTCGGAGGACGATATATTTTCAATGAAAAATTTTCGGACATTGAGGCCGGTAAATGTTATTAATACTGTTAATTATATAACAGAGCATTTACGTAAATATTTGTATCTATAAAAAATGTATAAACATAAAATTGTCTTAATATATATATATATGTGTGTGTGTGTGAAATATGTTTTCTCAAAGAAACTAAAATCAAAGAACGGGTTGATAATAACCTTGGTATTAGACAACACAAGTTAATAACTTTGGAAACATTACCATTGTGGAAATGGTTTTGTTATCAATACTAAATGGAATAAAATCATTTATAGAGATTCGGCGAACAACTATCATATACGCATTAGATACACATTGAAAAAATGATATTTAAAGAAATATCAATAAAACGCCATCATTAACCCCCCCCCGCAAATCTTGGAAGACCTGCAGCATTTACGTGAGTTAGCACAGAACAGGGAGGTTTGGACAGGACTGATAAGAGATATTTACAAAGTCGCTGAAGATGAGCACTCACAGAGATTTGCAGTGTGCATTCAAGTCGAAACGTTTCTCAGGCTGATGACAATATTGATGTCCAAACCTCTTACAACATTAAATTTCCCTGTGGTAAAATCGTTTATGCAAGAAACAAAGAGGCACATTACAGCCTGGTTAAAATACATCTTACTTATTATAAAACGCAGATTGTGTGTGTGTGTGTCTGTTCGTTTATATATTGGATCGAATTTCCTACATTTTTCAACTGATTTCAACAAAACTTCACAGGACTGCGTAAAATTACCTTGCGGTGATTCTGACAGTGCCAAAAATTGGAAAAACACAATTGTTTTTGCACGAAATCAATTTAAAAACACGATAAAACACGATTCTGTCACCAGAATTAAAGGGGGACAACTCATATCGAGTTATACTTATTGTAGAACCCAGGTTGTTTGTGTATGTGTCTGTGTTCGTTTATATATGGGATCGGATTTCCTACATTTTTCAACCGATTTCAACAAAACTTCACTTTTTTTTTTGGCAGGTAGTGTTTCTTATTGTCTTGCACACTTTTTTCTTTATTTTTACATTCAGAATGCTTTAAAAATTCAATTTACAAGACAATTGTTTATAATAAAATTCTATTCAATCGATAGACTCATAACGATTGAAAACAATGTTTTTGTTTGAGTTTGGGTTTGACCAATTCGTAAAAAAAAAAAAAAACTAATTAAGACATGCGTGTCTGTCAACCTTAAACAATAATCTTTGTCAATTTTATTTTTCAGTCTTTATGATGGTCGATACTTGATCTATCTCTTACAGTTACATCCCCGGGTAATGTCGGGCTCTACTGCTAGTTTGTAATAAGATGGTAAATATTCGTTGAACCCTATTAAAGCCTGTGAATATCTATAAGCCTGGTACTAATTGCTGTAAGTTTTGTGCAGAGGAGAAACTTGCAATTACCACATACTGTCCGGCTTTTTGAACTATTAAATAGGAGAAAAGAATTTTTCAACTTATGCAACTATATATTTGTTATACCAAAATTGAATGGTATCAAAATTAAATACGCTTATTCAACTAATTGTATTAGAGCACTGCTTTCTAAAAAAGAACCTGATGGTGTGAAAAAGTATCTGAAAGAAAAGTGTAAACGGTGAGACAATGGTGAGGCCGAATTTAATGTGGGGGTAACCTCGGCCAAAAATTCCCCGTAGACCCCGAATAAAACGGGGTCGGGTAGCTGTTTCCCGAGACGAAACTCTGCCCTTCGACATGGCCTCCTCTGGAGATCCTCTCTGCCCGGAGGCAGAGAGTTTGATCAGCATAGCTGGAGACGAATGTCCAACTACAGACTAACATACAGTATTTACTACTGTATTTATGTGGATGTGGACATACCCATTATCGTCCGTGGGTTTAGTACAACATATCTATCTATCTATCTATCTATATATATATATATATATAGTTTATGAATATATATATATATATATATATATATATATATATATATATATATATAGTTTATGAAAAACTAGGTAATCCGTATGGGTAAACCCAAGGAGGATAAAATCCAGAGAGCTCAATGTAAATCCAGAGCAAATAATTTAAATAAAACAGACCACTTTAAGGTTCGATGTAATAAATTATTTCACCACAGCCCTTTTAAAGGACTGCGGATCATCAGACTTTACTTCCAAAGGTTGAAACAAAAAATGAAAAGAAATTTACACATTTTTGACGGGCCGTATTAAACATATGTAAATTAACGAAGTGAGGAAGTGAGGGTGGGGAGAGAAGACATGAGTGAGTTAGATGTAATTTAAAAATTCTATTCTTTTATACTTAAAATTACTAGAGGTCCAGACGGTTAACTTAAAGGAAGTTATATATTGATATCGAAGGGGTAGAGGAAAAAAACCCATAAAAAGAAAAAGAGAGAAGGAAGTCATGAGAGAAGGTGTCACTAATTTTCTTTGGAAAAAAAACGGCTAGAAAAATACACTGTCATTTTGTTTTATTTTGAAAGTGTTATTTTGGGGGTTCATAAAGTTCTGTGGTCCGGCAGCAATGTGGTCTCAAAGGTGCCGGATTAAAAAGGTCGGACTGTAGTCGCAAATATTAATTGTATTTACCTATTCCCGAATCAAGGTACATTGGAAAATGTATGAATGTATTTCTTCTTCCCAAATCTATGGGTTAAATAACGGGACTGGGTTCTCTTGTCTTGAAGTGGCAACCAGTCTATGAGAAGGAAACCTGTCTATGAGAAGGCTCCATCTGTCAATCTTTTCTTTTCTTTTTTTCCTAAATCATTTCCTTCTATGCAAGGCAATAAAACTACTAACACGCAAGAGGTTACTGAGTGTTAGAGAATATGAGAAAAAAAGTACTATTAACGAGATAGGACAATAAAAGAACAAGAATTAAGAAGAGAGAAGATAATGCTTGACAGTGCATATACATTATTGAAGATCAACGTTGGCTGGTTAGCAAGAAGCCGAAAGAGAGTTCCACAGGCACGAAGTACGATAGAAGAAACTGCTAGAATAGAACTTGCGGTTAAATCTAGCCATTTTAACTGTAAAATACGGTGGAGTAATGGGAAGTAATGGATGGCGGCTCGGATTGAGGAATCGGAGAGCCGAGTTCGAATTCCAGTCGAATCCATTACATTCACTTACGTGCTAATACCCTTGGGAAAGAGGGAAAAGAAGAAAAATGAGAGAAATAAAACCATTGAACGAAGTAACAAAAAAGAAAGAGAAAAGAAAAGAAGTAAAAGAAAGAAAGAAAAGCTTCTTCTAACCTCCCCACCCCAACTATGGGTAAATAGCAGAACAGACCAGGTTCTATAGCCTACTGGTCTACTGCAGAAAGAAATGGCAACCTACTGCGGGAAAAAAATCTGCCTCGTCTGGCATGTATCGAAAGATACATGATCGCCTAAACGTATATCACGCATGGCTCTGAAATGAATGGGTTAGGGGACTTGTGACGTGATGTGTCAGAAGTAATGGTTGAGCAGACGACCTTGTTCAGTAGAGAGATAAACTATAAACTAAATCGTATATAATCCTTACAAACTTTCTTTCTTTCTTTCTGTCTTTGGTGGTCTAACATAGTAAACATAATCCTTATACTATCTGCCAATTAGCCTTTCTGTCTATCTATCTCTCACGCACACACCGTGGTACGCACGAAATACTGTCCTCACGCCCTTCCATATTTTGATCAAACCGTCAATCCGATCACACGAAATACAACACCGGGGAATTATTTCTTGGTCTCCAAACGCAAAACGCTACTTAAAAAAAATAAATAAATAAACTAAAAAATAAAAGAAGCTAAAGGAAAAAGCAAACGATATTAAAAGTAAAAGCCTGATTGGTCCGCTTGAGAGTGTGAACGGTGAGCGATAGAGGAAACGGGGTTTTCGAGTAGTGTCTCCCCACTACCACTACCTCGGCTGTTTGTTTGACGAAGGTGACCATGGCGTCTGTGGAGTGGAGAGTTAATCACCGGCTGTTCGTCGAAGGCTATTGTCCAGTACAAGAAGGAGAAAGGACGGTCGAAAGTGCTATCGACTGTCACGGCTGAGGAGAAACACAAGAATAACATCTGCGTCCAGACAGACAGATCGATAAGAAAGCGGGGCGACATTTGTAATTAATGTCGAACAGACTCCAAACTTTCAACGCGTTCCTTTCATTTCTATATTCTTTATTAATTTTTTCTTTCTTTTTTCTCTTCAGTCTTTCATCTTTTCCCTTTCCTAGGTCTTCTCTTGTTGGGTTTACTACGCTTCTTTCTTTCTTTTTTCTTTCTTTCTTTCTTTTACTTCTTTTTTTTCTATTTCTTCTTTCTTACTTCGTTCAGCGGTTTTTATTTTCTTCATTTTTCTTCTTTTTCCTCTTTCTATCTTTTTCCTGTTTCTGTATTTCTTCCTTTTCCTTTTTTCTTTCCTTTTTTTTTTTTTTTTTTTTGTTCCGTGTCTCTTGTCCGGTCCTTTCTTTCTTCCACTATTTGTTTGTTTGTTTGTTTTTTTCTTTCTTTCTTTCTTTCTTTCTTTCTTTCTTTCTTTCTTTCTTTCTTTCTTTCAGGCATTCGTTTAGTCTTCTTCCTTTCTTTCATTTATTCGTTTATCCATCTTTCTTTCTTTCTTTCTTTCTTTCTTTCTTATCCATTCATTTTTCTTTTTTCATTTTTCATTCAGTTTCTTTCTTTCTTTCTTTCTTTCTTTCTTTCTTGCATTCGTTTAGCCTTCTTTCTTTTTTCTTTCTTTCTTTCTTTCTTTCTTTCTTTCTTTCTTTCTTTCTTAATCATTCATTTTTCCTTTTTCATTTTTCATTCAGTTTCTTTCTTTCTTTCTTTCTTTCTTTCTTGCATTCGTTTAGCCTTCTTTCTTTCTTTCTTTCTTTCTTTATTATCCATTCATTTTTCTTTTTTCATTTTTCATTCAGTTTCTTTCTTTCTTTCTTTCTTTCTTTCTTTCTTTCTTTCTTTCTTTCTTTCTTTCAGGCATTCGTTTAGTCTACTTTCTTTCTTTCCTTCTTTCTTTCTTTCTTTCTTTCTTTATTATCCATTCATTTTTCTTTTTTCACTTTTCATTCACCTTCATTTCTTTCTTTATTTCTTTCTTTCTTTCTTTCTTTCTTCACTTCATGAATTTTTCTTTCTTTCTTTTTCTATTCCATTAATGTTTTTTGCGTTTCCGTTTCTCGTCTCTTTATTTTCTTTATAAGTTTTTCATTGCATTTTTCCATCCTTCTTTTCCTTTTTCGTATTTTTCTTCCTTTCGAAATGGCTTTACTCTTTCTTTTTTCTTCTTCTCACTCTTTCTCTGTGTCCCTTTATCTTTCGCTTTTCATTTTCCTTTATATCTTCTCTTTCTTTTTTGTCTTTTCCTTCTTTTTTCTTCTTTGTCTCTTCTCTTTTTCTCTTCTACTTCTTTTCTTATTCTTTTTATTTTTCTTTTCTCTTTCCTTTCCTCTTCTTTTCAGTTTTTTATTCCTTTTCTATTTCCTTTTTTTTTTCTCCACTCATTCTTTTTTTTCTCTTCATTTCTCTTCTTTTTCTGATTTTTTCTCCTGTCATATTCACACTTTCTTATTATTTTTTTAATATTTTTTCTTCCTGTCTCATATTTTCGTTTTCTCTATTCCATTTCCATTTCACCTTTTTTACTCTCCTTGTTTTTATCCTTTAAGTTTTCTTACTTTCATTTTTCCACTGTTTTCGTTCTTTCTTTTTCTTTCTTTCTTTCTTTCTTTCTTTCTTTCTTTTCTACCCATCAATCTTTCTTACTTTTCTTCAACTTCCGACTTTCTCATTCATTCTTCCTTCCTTTCTTTTGTCTCTCTTCTTTCAGTTCATCTTCATTTCTTTCTTTCTTTCTTTATTTTTTTTCTTTTTTCTTCCTTTCTCTTCTGTCTTAAAATTCTCTCCTATTATTTTTTTTTCCATTCATTTTAATTTCTTTCTTTCTGTAATTGTTTCTTTCACTGTTTCTATTTTCTTTCTTTCTTTCTTTCTTTCTTTCTTTCTTTCTTTCTTTCTTTCTTTCTTCTGTCTTCTTTCTTAGAATTCTCTTCTATTCTCTTTCCTTCCACTCAACTTCATTTCTTTCTTTCTTTCTTTCTTTCTTTCTTCTGTCTTCTTTCTTAGAATTCTCTTCTCTTCTCTTTCCTTCCACTCAACTTCATTTCTTTCTTTCTTTCTTTCTTTCGTTCTTTCTTTCTTTCTTCTGTCGTCTTTCTTAGAATTCTCTTCTATTCTCTTTCCTTCTACTCAACTTCATTTCTTTCTTTCTTTCTTTCTTTCTTTCTTTCTTCTGTCTTCTTTCTTAGAATTCTCTTCTTCTCTCTTTCAATCCTCTTCTTCGTTTCTTTCTTTCTTTCTTTCTTTCTTTCTTTCTTTCTTCTGTCTTCTTTCTTAGAATTCTCTTCTATTCTCTTTCCTTCCACTCAACTTCATTTTCTTTCTTTCTTTCTTTCTTTCTTTCTTTCTTTCTTCTGTCTTCTTTTTCTTAGAATTCTCTTCTCTTCTCTTTCCTTCCACTCAACTTCATTTCTTTCTTTCTTTCTTTCTTTCTTTCTTTCGTTCTTTCTTTCTTTCTTCTGTCGTCTTTCTTAGAATTCTCTTCTATTCTCTTTCCTTCTACTCAACTTCATTTCTTTCTTTCTTTCTTTCTTTCTTCTGTCTTCTTTCTTAGAATTCTCTTCTCTTCTCTTTCCTTCCACTCAACTTCATTTCTTTCTTTCTTTCTTTCTTTCGTTCTTTCTTTCTTTCTTCTGTCGTCTTTCTTAGAATTCTCTTCTATTCTTTCCTTCTCAACTTCATTTCTTTCTTTCTTTCTTTCTTTCTTCTGTCTTCTTTCTTAGAATTCTCTTCTCTTCTCTTTCAATCCACTCAACTTCGTTTCTTTCTTTCTTTCTTTCTTTCTTTCTTTCTTTCTTTCTTCTGTCTTCTTTCTTAGAATTCTCTTCTATTCTCTTTTCCTTCCCTCAACTTCATTTCTTTTCTTTCTTTCTTTTTTCTTTTTCTGTCTTCTTTCTTAGAATTCTCTTCTTTCTCTTTCCTTCCACTCAACTTCATTTCTTTCTTTCTTTCTTTCTTTTCGTTCTTTCTTTTTTTTCTTCTGTCGTCTTTCTTAGAATTCTCTTCTATTCTCTTTCCTTCTACTCAACTTCATTTCTTTTCTTTCTTTTCTTTCTTTCTTTCTGTCTTCTGTCTTCTTTTCTTAGAATTCTCTTCTTTCTCTTTCCTTCCACAACTTCATTTCTTTCTTTCTTTCTTTCGTTCTTTCTTTCTTTCTTCTGTCGTCTTTCTTAGAATTCTCTTCTATTCTCTTTCCTTCTACTCAACTTCATTTCTTTCTTTCTTTCTTTCTTTCTTCTGTCTTCTTTCTTAGAATTCTCTTCTCTTCTCTTTCAATCCACTCAACTTCATTTCTTTCTTTCTTTCTTTCTTTCTTTCTTTCTTTCTTCTGTCTTCTTTCTTAGAATTCTCTTCTATTCTCTTTCCTTCCACTCAACTTCATTTCTTTCTTTCTTTCTTTCTTTCTTTTCGTTTTTCTTTTCTTCCTTCTTCTTCTGTCTTCTTTCTTAGAATTCTCTTCTATTCTTTTCCTTCCACTCAACTTCATTTCTTTTCTTTTCTTTCTTTCTTTCTTTCTTTCTTTCTTTCTTTCTTTCTTCTCTTCTTTCTTAGAATTCTCTTCTCTTCTCTTTCCTTCCACTCAACTTCATTTCTTTCTTTCTTTCTTTCTTTCTTTCTTTCTTTCTTTCTTTCTTCTGTCTTCTTTCTTAGAATTCTCTTCTATTCTCTTTCCTTCCACTCAACTTCATTTCTTTCTTTCTTTCTTTCTTTCTTTCTTTCTTTCTTTCTTTCTTTCTTTCTGTCTTCTTTCTTAGAATTCTCTTCTCTTCTCTTTCCTTCCACTCCAACTTCATTTCTTTCTTTCTTTTCTTTCTTTCTTTTCTTTCTTCTTTCTTAGAATTCTCTTCTCTTCTTTTCCTTCCTCAACTTCATTCATTTTTCTTTCTTTCTTTCTTTCTTTCTTTCTTTCTTTCTTTCTTTCTTCTGTCTTCTTTCTTAGAATTCTCTTCTCTTCTCTTTCCTTCCAAACTTCTTCATTTCTTTTCTTTCTTTCTTTCTTTCTTTTCTTTCTTTCTTTCTTTCTGTCTTCTTTACTTTCAAATTCTCTTCTATTCTCTTTCCTTCCTCAACTTCATTTCTTTCTTTCTTTCTTTCTTTCTTTCTTTCTTTCTTTCTTCTGTCTTCTTTCTTAGAATTCCCTTCTCTTCTCTTTCCTTCCTCAACTTCATTTCTTTCTTTCTTTCTTTCTTTCGTTCTTTCTTTCTTTCTTCTGTCGTCTTTCTTAGAATTTCTTCTCTTCTCTTTCCTTCCACTCAACTTCATTTCTTTCTTTTTTCTTTCTTTCTTTCTGTTTTCTTTCTTTCTTCTGTCTTCTTTCTTAGAATTCTCTTCTATTCTCTTTCCTTCCACTCAACTTCATTTCTGTCTTTCT